TAATAATGATAATGAGACATTTAAGAAGTGCTTTTCCCAAGAACCTAAAGGCCCTATATTTACATAGTTGAAACCAACATTTAAAAACTACAATGTAAAGTCCTAGATGTTAAAATAGAAAACCCAAAAATCCTAAGAAAAACTAAAAGATAAAAACAATTGAGATTTAAAAAAACATTACAGCCACATTATTGATTAAAAAAGGCGCGTCTGAAAAGGGACAAATTTAAGGTAACTCCTAAAACTTTCCAGTGATCCAGCACCCCTAATATGTAGCATGCGCATTATGTTCCAGTACTTTTCCTTTGCCGCATATATAATACAGAATTATGTAGTGCCCTGTTGTTTTTTTCGAATTAAAATACAAATGAAATTTTAAAACTGGCTCATTTACCAGGATGCTGAAAGTCCATGTATGATGTGAACATACTGTCACTAGATTTGACGGATATACGTAGCTTCTCTTCTATGTAGTCGGCAGTATCCTTGATACAGTGTATTTCGACCTCAACGCGCACCGACAGTTTGTTAGAATCAGTACTCAGTCTAATACAAAAACAACAGAGGTTATTTTAGCATACATTCATTTAACATTCCCTTAGGTATCACTTAGGTATATGGCTATCTGTCATTGGCCAACAATATGTGAAGTATGAAACTAACTTTGGTACTCACCGAAAACGTTTGAACTTCAAGTCAAGGAATCCTGGAACAAACTGCACAACGTCTCTTATCTAAACGGAACAGGTTGCGAAAAATGTTGAAAATACTGATTACAAATAAGACGAACAAGCGAAATTACTTCTTTCATTTGTAAATTGTAATTCGTTTACCCACGGAGCACTTGGAAGTTCGGAAGAACTCGTTGAAACGAGTCCGTGCGTTCCAGAACGAATTGGAATTTGGAGGTAGTCGTTTTTGAGGAGAGGGGAAAACCGGAGTATCCGGAGAAAAACCTCTCGGAGCAATGGAGAGAACTAAAGACAAACTTTAACATATGGCATCGACGCCAGGATTCGTACCCGGCCACATTACTGGGGGACGAGTGCTCTCACCACTGCGCCACCCTTGCTCAAATAAATTAAGCCTTTGCAAAAATGAAAAACTTATAACCGTTTTCATTTTACCAGATAGCTATTTGCTCAAGACCCACCCCAATTTGCCACGATCGTCGACTTCACTTTTAAATAAAACTGTTTTGCGACTGTTGAGGCAAAAGAAAGATATCCCTCCACAAGGCAAAAAACAAAATTCAATTTCTTAAATTATGGGCATATCGTAGATGTCATTAACTAGGCGCGCACGCTCCCGTTATGGTATTGATTTTTACGCCGCTATTATTAAAAATAGTGCGCTGCTTCACTGATGGTCTAATTGATTTTGGAATTGGCTGGAATTGTACATGTAATTGCTTGGAAAACCTTCTTTATGGGATTAAGTAACGGTGACCAGCGGAATACAAAGTCCATCATCTTCAAATATAGCTTGAGTATTAAATTTCTTCAAGATGCAGAAACTGTAACGGAGCTCCTAAGCTTACCTGAGTCAAACAGTCAGCGGCCCAAGTTTTATAATTTTCGCTGTCTTCATTCAGAAATGCAAGAGTGAACGATGCAGTTGGATCGGCAATTACGACCTTCGCCAAAAAGAAAAAATCTGTGGAAAACCAAATGACCCGGTTTTCGCATTAATGCTAACTTTAAAGATTGGAGCAGAATGAAAAAGACACGAGTGATGTTCTTTAATTACTGCTAGCTCTAAATGGTCTGCCCACAGTGACTTAGGGGCAATTTTTTGTGGTTTCGACTTGGAACTTCAATTATAACAAGAATCCAAACTTATCACGTGAAGAAAAAGCCTGGGTGTAAAAAAAAAAAAAAATTGGCTTTAATTTTGTTTTAGTTATCTTTTTAATCGTAAGACTATATTTAATTGGTTAAAACAAAAACTCCTGCATTTTTCCAAATTCTCCATAACATTTTTCAGATGTTTTATTTAAATATAGGACAAACTTTCATTCTCTGTTTTACAATTACGCCATGGAAAAAAAAACAATAATGCAAACCATTCAATACAGAAAGTCCACAATCTGGGATAAATATACAAAAGGCCTCACCAACAATCAGGTCTGTGCGATATTTTATATGCGAGATATTTGGAAAAACGTTTTACCCAAATTTATAAAGCTTTGTATGGAGATACCATGTTGGTGTCCCTTTGAGGGGCACAAATATGGCCGCCGGAAACCAGCCTGGATTTCTGCTTTTCAGTTTTCCTACAAACGCGTGAGTTCATCGCTTGAAGAACTCATAAAGATAAAGTAATATTTATTCGGAGACAAGAAATAATTAGATAGCAAAATCATCCGCACATGAGAGCTTTCCGCGCCGCCGGCTAGATGCTGCGTCCCGCAAAAGCCTAGAAATTCAAGTGTCCTTTCTCGAAAAACAAAGACCCTTTCGAATCCGAATATTTGTATAAATGAAGGTGTTTAGTTGCTGTAATACCTCATGAAATTAGAAACTCAGAAGAATCAATAATTCCGTAGTTTGAATTTTTGGTGACGTCATGTGAAAACGGAGAATAAATAGAAATAACTTCTTCATTTGAAAGCTGATGGGCGTAAGAATGTTTTATAACTCAAAACAAATAACAAACAACAGCAACAACAACAAAACAAAATCCTGTCACGCCATTACCGGGGTTACAGCCGTACAACTCCATTCGTAGACCCACGTTGTTGTTCCACTCCAGCGGTTT